AGGCTGAGGCTGAGGCTGAAGGCAGACTGAGGCTGAGGCTGAAGCAGGCTGAGGCTGAGGCTGAGGCTGAGGCTGAGGCTGAGGCAGGCTGAGGCTGAGGCTGAGGCAGGCTGATGCTGAGTCAGGCTGAGGCTGAGGCTGAGGCTGATGCAGGCTGAGGCTGAGGCAGGCTGAGGCTGAGGCCGAGGCTGAAGGCAGACTGAGGCCGAGGCTGAAGCAGGCTGAGGCTGAGGCTGAGGCAGGCTGAGGCTGAGGCTGAGGCAGGCTGAGGCTGAGGCCGAGGCTGAAGGCAGACTGAGGCTGAGGCTGAAGCAGGCTGAGGCTGAGGCTGAGGCAGGCTGAGGCTGAGGCTGATGCCGGCTGAGGCTGAGGCAGGCTGAGGCTAAGGCTGAGGCTGATGCAGGCTGAGGCTGCGGCAGGCTGAGGCTGAGGCGGAGGCTGAAGGCAGACTGAGGCTGAGGCTGAAGCAGGCTGAGGCTGAGGCTGAGGCAGGCTGAGGCTGAGGCTGAGGCAGGCTGATGCTGAGGCAGGCTGAGGCTGAGGCTGAGGCTGGCTGATGCAGGCTGAGGCTGAGGCAGGCTGAGGCTGAGGCCGAGGCTGAAGGCAGACTGAGGCTGAGGCTGAAGCTGGCTGAGGCTGAGGCAGGCTGAGGCTGAGGCTGAGGCTGAGGCTGAGGCAGGCTGATGCTGAGGCAGGCTGAGGCTGAGGCTGAGGCTGATGCAGGCTGAGGCTGAGGCTGATGCAGGCTGAGGCCGAGGCCGACGGCAGACTGAGGCTGAGGCTGAAGCAGGCTGAGGCTGAGGCTGAGGCAGGCTGAGGCTGAGGCTGAGGCAGGCTGATGCTGAGGCAGGCTGAGGCTGAGGCTGAGGCTGATGCAGGCTGAGGCTGAGGCAGGCTGAGGCTGAGGCCGAGGCTGAAGGCAGACTGAGGCTGAGGCTGAAGCAGGCTGAGGCTGAGGCTGAGGCAGGCTGAGGCTGAGGCAGGCTGAGGCTGAGGCTGAGGCAGGCTGAGGCTGAGGCTGTGACTGCGACTGCCGATGCCTCTGCGACTGTCATCGCGAATGCGACTACGACTGCGAGAACAGCAGAATTCTACAGCTGGATCCTCATCTGAATCTTAAGGGGAATGCTTCCAGAAATGTTCCTACACATCGCTGTTAGGTTGCTTTGCCAGGATATGTTTTAACTATTCGTGGTCTTTGATTTGTTTGGGGGGGCCAAGATCCTTTCATTTATAATTCTTCTATCCTGGGCCTCTTCCTGGCCACTGAGGGGCCAGGAACAAGTAGAGACGAGCACAAGTAGAAATGGGCACGATCAGAAGTGAACGACGTGTACATTCACACTGCGAAGCTCCTTGGCTCCCATGTCGTCGTAAAAAACGGTCCTGGGAAATGGGTCGAGACCTCCTGGGGGCCGACGTCATGAACAAAAAAGTCATGGCGTCGGGGGTCTGGGGCTACCGCGGCGTCCCCGCCATGCAGCCTCCAGAGCCGCCCGATCCACGAGGGCCCCCGGCTTGTTCCCGGGCCGATGTGGTTCTGGCACCGCCGGGCCGAGGTCTAAGATCTATAGGTCGCTTCGGGGAGTGTGCCCCAGTGTTCTCCGTGCTTTTGTTGGACGCTCTCGTACATCCTGGGCAGGGTGTGCCCTCAGAGCTTCTCTGTGTCTTGACCGGCGGCGGGTCTCGTGCTCTTGTGAGGGAGGTTCTCGTGGCCCAGGTCCGACTGTATCGGCTTCTTCTTGGCCCTGACCCCCGGGGCGGTGCGCTGCGCCGCTGTCGCCTGCCAGGGGGGGGGGAGACCAAGAGGGCCTCTCTGCTCCCAGGCCTCCCAGCGGGGGCAGGAGCAGACCCAGACCACCGACGTCATGATTTTTTCATGACGCGGCTCCCAGAGGTCCGGACCCCTTCCCCGGGACCGGTTTTTCATCCTGAGTCGTTTTTTGACGGTCCCGAGGCCCGGTGAGGGCCCCCAGGGGCCGAAAATGGCGAAAAACCCCTTGTCGTGATTTTTTTTTCGACCCGAGGGGGTCTGGGGACGGGGCCGGAGGATCGCCCCGCGCCGCCGATGCATCGGCGATGCGGCGCGGTCTGGAGCCCGCTCGCCTCCATCTCGCCGTCGAGGGCGCACCGCCGATGCGTCGGCGGTGTGGCGCGGGCCTCCGGCCCGGCCCTATCTGCTTCGACGCCCAGCGGCCTCCGCGCCGAGGCCCTCTGCAGGGGGATGTTCGACGAAAAATAGAACATACCCCCAAAAATGCCCCAAAAAGGCAACAAAATGCACAAAAAATAGCCCCCAGACTATTTTTGGATTATTCTTTGATTATTTTTGGAGGTATTTTTCATTTTTCGTAGAAGATCCCCCTGTAGGGGGACAGGCCTGACTTAACTCTACCGGCCGAGGCCAGGAACGCCCCTCTGCCCAGGGCCCGGGGTGCCCCTGGCCAGGCATGGCGGTGGTGCACGGTGGCCTCCTGCGGGCTTCCCTCTCCTCCTGGGCTCGGCGGCGACGGCTCCCGAGGGCGCCGCGGTCTCGCGGCGCGAGTTAGCGGGGGTGGCCGGCGGCTTCCAGCTCCTGGACCTCCTCCGCCCGCGGGAGTGCCTCGAGCTCGTGGAGGTGCTCGACGGGCTCGGCTTCCATACTGATGATGGGCCCGTTTTCCACCGCCACCACCATGAGTTGGAAGGGGGGAGGAGGTGGAGGAGGAGGAGGAGGAGGAGGAGGAGGAGGAGGAGGAGGAGGACGACGACGAAGGGGAGGAGGAGGAGGAGGAGGAGGAGGAGGAGGAGGAGGAGGAAGGAGTGAGGAGGAGGAGGAGGGCGGAGGAGGGAGGAGGGAGGAGGGAGGAGGAGGAAGGAGGGAGAGGAGGAGGATAAGGAGGAAAGAGGGAGGAGGAGGAGGAGGAGGAGAGGAGGAGGAGGAGGGGAGAAGGAGGGGGGAGGAGGAGGAGGAGGAGGAGGAGGAGGAAGGAGGAGAAGGAGGGGGGGATGAGGAGGAGGAGGAGGAGGAGGAGGGAGGGAGGAGGAGGAAGGAGAGGAGGAGGAGGAGGAGGAGGAGGAGGAGGAGGACCCATCCCCCTCCTACTTCTGGTGGTGGCGGTGGGAAATAAGCCCACCATACAGATGCGGCCGTGTCTCTCCCCTACTCCTTCCGGCACATGGAGAACTGCAACCTCGTCGTTCCCGATGAGGTCGCCGAGGAGCTGTTCCAGCGCTGCAGCCACCTCCTGCCAGAGGTCGGCCTCTGTCCCCCTCTCGGCCTCAACGCCAAGTTCCGCTGCTACAGGTACGGGCCGGGGGACTATTTCCGGCCGCACACGGACGGCGCGTGGCCCGGCACCCTGGCGCGCGGAGGCAAGGTGCTGATGGACGGGTATGGCGATCGCCTGAGCCAGCTGACCTTCCTCATCTAGGGCGACGAGATCTTTAGGCGGAGGCGGAGGCGGAGTCGGAGGAGGAGGAGGAGGAGGAGGGGCCAGGCCTGGGGCAGTGGGTATGTATGGCCCAGGTATGGCCCCCCCCTCCTCATGCTGATGCCATCGGGCCCCCCCCCTCCCCGCGCCGCGATGCTTCCCCCCCCCCTCCCCCTGTGGGTGTGGTGTGGTGATGTGGGTGTGGCGCGTGTGGCGAGGTACTGGCGTGTTCCAAAAGAGCTCCGGAGATCATCGTCGTCGCCGCCGCCGTCGTCGCCGTCGCCGTCGCCGTCGCCGTCGCCGTCGTCGTCGTCGTCGTCGTCGTCGTCGTCGTCGTCGTCGTCGTCGTTGTCGGCGTCGTTGTCGCCCGTCGTCGCCGTCGTCGTCGTCGTCGTCGTCGTCGTCGTCGTCGTCGTCGTCGTCGGCGGCGTCGTCGTCGTCGTCGTCATCGTCGTCGTCGTCGTCGTCTCGTCGTCGTCGTCAACGTCGCCGTCGTCGTCGGCGTCGTTGTCGCCGTCGTCGTCGCCGTCGTCGCCGTCGTCGCCGTCGTCGTCGCCGTCGTCGCCGTCGTCGTCGTCGTCGTCGTCGTCGCCGTCGCCGTGTTCGTTGTCGCCGTCGTCGCCGTCGCGCCCCACCCATCTCATCTGGGGGGGCGGGGCTCCCGAGGGACTCTGGGACCCATCCCATCTGGTGGGGGGGCCCGTGGCCCCGGAGTCTGGGATCATGTATGGATCTCGCCGCCCTGTCATCCTGCTCACGGAGGGCTACGAGGGCGGCTCCACCCGCTTCTTCCGCGGCCCGGGCGGGGAGGCGTCCGCGGCGGTGAGGACCCCGCGCGGCGGCGCCCTGTGCTTCCCCCACGGCCACCACCCCGACAGCCCGCTCCACGAGGGCGAGAGGATCGCCGAGGGCCTGAAGTACGTGATCCGGACGGAGGTGCTGTACAGTCTGGAGGCCCTGGGGCGCCTGGGGCACGCCCGGGCGCAGCTCTGAGCGGCGGCCCGGGGAGGCCGTGCCAGGCCCTCCCGGTCGGGGCCCGGGTCGAGGGGGTCGGAGCGCGCCGCCTCGCCGAGGCGTCGGCGACGGGGCTCCGCGCCGGCTGCGCCGAGGCATCGCTGACGTCGCTGGTGCATCGCCCCTGCCTCGGCGAGGCGGCGCGACCTGTCGGCCCCAGCTGCTCCGAGCCCATCTGGGCGGCCTCCCGCCGCGGGGCGCCTCGGGCAGCCGCGGCCCGCTCTCCCCGCGCGCCGTGCGCTGCCTCGGCAGCCGCCCGCCCTGCCGCTCTGGAAAATGCGCACTCGGAGTCCATCCCACATCGCCGCCCATCGTGCTTTGGGAGGGCATTCTTCCTACTCGCGGCGAGAAGCGGCGCCATTCGGGGGGGAGGGTGGGGGGGGGGACAGGGACATTGCGTGGCGCCCACTTCCCCCCCAGCCATGCGGCGCCGGCACCGCAGCGCCGCCTGCGTCCACCACAACGCTGAGTGGCTCCAGCATCGCAGCGCAGGTGGGGAGGGAGGAGGGGGGGGCATCACGCGCGCTGTGGCCCTCTGGCTGGGAGGGAGGGCCCAAAGGCGCGCGTCTGACGCGAGGGAGGATTGAAAAGCACCCTCGCGCTTCGAGCATGCCTTCGCCGAGCTCGTGCCAGGGGCGCTCTCAACAGAGGCCCTCGTCGGGGCGGTAGCGGCGCGCAGCCCTCCGACACGCCTCCGCAGGCCGCGGCGGCCGGCGACGAGGCCGCCGTGCGCGGCCTCCTCCGCGCCCGCGCCTCGACGCCGGGCCGGCGCGCCGCCGCCGCCCGCGCCGTGCGGGACGCCGCCGCCCTCCGCCAGGGGGACGACGGCGACGACGACGACGACGACGATCACGACGACGACGACGACGACGACGACGACGACGACGACGACGACGACGACGACGACGACGACGACGACGATCACGACGACGATCACGACGATCACGACGACGATCACGACGACGACGACGACGACGACGACGACGACGACGACGACGACGACGACGACGACGACGACGACGACGACGACGACGACGACGACGACGACAGCGGGGACGACGACGACGACGCGGTGCACAGGGGCCTGCTTCGCCTCTGAGAGGGCCGCGGCGGCCCGCTCCCACGGCGACAACGCCGACGCTGGGTCGAGGCGCCCGTGGACGCCCTTGGGCGCCGCCCTGGGGGCGCCCAAGAAGCCGCGCCGCCGCCGCGGAGCCGGCCCCCTGGAAGCGCCGCCCCCGCCGTCTCGTCGCAGGCGCCGCCGCCCGGCGGTGCGGCTGCTGATCGGGCTGCTTCGGGCGTGCTCGTCGCTGCCGCGGCCGCGCCTCGACGCAGGGCCTTCCCGCGCGCCGCCGCCCGCGCCGTGCGGGTCGCCGCCGCCCCCTGGCTATAAGCAGCGACGGGGCGCGTCCCGGCTCGCCTGCGGTGGGCCCGCGTCGTGTCCACCGGCGGCGACCCCGCCGCGGGCGTGCAGCGTGGAGCGCGGCCAGTGGCCCAGAAGGGGCCGGTGTTGAACGATCTGACGTTCTGGGAACGGCCGATCCTTCAGGCTTGAAGGGCCCCCGCGGTGTCGGGCACCAGCGCCGGGGTCGGCACGACACGGACCCGCCGCAGAGGCCCACCACCAAGGAGTGTTCTTGAGAACCTCTTGTGGTTTCCACGGGGCGTTCTCGGAACATTCCTGGCCGAGGCCCGCCAAATAATTTGAATGCAAGGTCTTCCTGCTTCGAGAAGACCATCCACTGGGGCAGATGCGAATTACCGTTCTCAGCAACCAGCGTCTACAGACACATTGGGTGTCGTTACGTATATAGACGCAGTCGGAGTGGATGCGTCTATGTAAAGCCTGGCCGTTGCGTTCGGCGCAGTACAAGGTCGGAGAGGGTAGATCCGTCTATGGTATGTGTTTGTTTTAAGCCATGTCCCACATGACATTTCAACACATAATGTTCTAAGAACCTTCTGTGGTTTCCTCAATGCTCTTGGAACGTTTCTGGCTAAAACCGTCTTGTTCCCAACCATGCTGTGGTGTTGGGTCCTCGTTCTGAAGAGACAGCACCCCGCGTTCCTTCCTTCTTCCTTCCTTCCTTCCTCCTCCCCCTCCTCCTCCTGCTCCTCCTGCTCCTCCTCCCTCCTCCCGTGGGAGCTCCACCGAAGGCCCTAAATGCCAGCGCCCGTGCGCCCACCGCACCCATTTTGTCAGACCCCTCACACGTTTAGTGGCCCCGAAGGGAGCTACACCGAAGGCCCAATGCCAGCGCTCGCATGCGCCCACCGCATCCATTTTGGCACACCTGTCACACTTTTCGTGGCCCCATACGGAGCTCCACCGAAGGCGCCTCCGACGGGCCTTGGGAGCGCCCTGAACGCGCTCTGGACAGGCCATGGGGGCGCCCTGGGGGCGCCCTTTGGGGGCCGCCTGGGGGCCCCCTGGCGGCGCCCTCGACGGGCCCTGGGAGCTCCCTGCTGGGCGCCCTTTTCGCCTCGCGCTCTGGATCGGAGAGTCGTCCTTCCCCACGGGGGCGGAGCACGACGAGCGCGGAGGCGGCCGCGCTATCGTCGCGGGCCGCGCGGCGCGAGGGCGTCGGCGGTGAAGGGGGTTCGGGAGTACAGCGGCAGGGGGCTTGGCTCCACAGGGGAGGGAAGCGCGCCCCCAATGGCGCATGCATCGCCGTCCGGGGGCAGCGCAATGATGGGCAACTTTTCCACCACTATTGCCATGTGTAGGACGGGGGGAGAAGGGAGGATGAGGAGCTCCTCCTCCTCCTCCTCCTCCTCCTCCTCCTCCTCTTCCTCCTCCTCCTCCTCCTCCCTCTTCTACCTGTGGTAGTGGTGGTGGAAAATGGACCCATCACGTGTTGGTTCGGGTCTTTTCGTCGAATCTCGGCGGCTCTCCAGCCTCGGGGCCAGCAGCTGCACCTCGCCGAGGGCGTTTCGGGGGGGGGGGCCCGGCTGGTCCCGAAAGCGGCCGCTGGCTGGAGAGCCGAGAGGCATGACCCTAAAGCCAGACGACCAGCTGGGGCAGGCTCAGGGGGAAGATCGTCGGAGCTCGGCGGTTTCCTAGCCTGGGGATGCGTTCCAGCAGCTGCGCCTCGCCGAGGGCGTTCCGGGGGTGTCCGGATCGTGCCCAACGGCCGCTCGAGAGCCGACCTGTAACCCGAAAGCCAGACGACGATCGGGGCAACGTCAGGAGGGATATAGGCTCAGGGGGGAAAGCATCGACCCCCAATCGCCCATTCATCGCCGTGAGCGGCCCGATAGGCCTACCCCGCCCAGAGCAGGGCGGTTTCGCTACGGTGGGGGCGTTTTTTTTGGAACGTGCGCAGGAAGCTTTATAGACCGTGGGGGATTCCTTATCCGATGGGCGGCAGTACTATCCATGACCAATCCACGACGGGAGTTCCACCGGCTCCCGGACCCTGGATTCCTTATCCAATGTTTCCTTATCCAACGCCCTCACCGTCAGTAGCCATTTTGGCTCAAGGCCATGGAGCGCCCGACGACCGCGAGTCGTCCGCGGCGCTCAAAGCGCGAGGGGCTCCTTGCTCTGGGCCAGCGCGACGCATTTTTGAGCCAGCGCTTGGGTGTGAGGCGGGCGTCCTCGGCGGGATGGTGGCTCCCGCGAAACGCGGCGTTTCCCCTCGTGCTGGCACTCGCGGTGCTGGTGGCTGCGGTGTCAGGAGCGGAACGTATCGGGCCTGCTCGTGCGGCCAGTGATCCTACGCGACCGGGGGGTGGTGCTTCAGCTGCCACGCCGTGGCCCCGCCCTGGGCGCGGGTGCGGGGATCGGCGGTCGGCGACCAACCCGCGCCCGACGCTGAGGGCTTCATCGCGGCGGGCAAGGGCAAGCGGGCGCGCCGCAGGGCGCGCGCCGCAGCCCCCTCTTGGGGCTGGCCAGGCCTCGGACGCCGGCCGCGGCGGAGGCGGCAGCAGCCAGGGCAGCCAATGCGCAGGCAGCCAGCCGCAGGGTCCCCGCCTGGCCGAGCTGGAGCGCACCAGCGCCCACCTGGAGGCCCGCCCCAGCCTCGATTGCGAGGAGGACGCTTGTGTGGCTGAGCGGCTGGCCGCCCTTCGGGCCAAGAAGGGGCAGGCTGCCGCTGCCCAGGCGCGCGACCAGGAGGCTGGCCTGTCTCCAGCGGCTCGCCTGCGCAGGGCTGCCAACGCGGCCAGCAAGTCGGAGCGCAGGGCGGCAGGAGCTCGCAAGGCGTTCGAGGCGGCTGACGCCGCGGTGGCAACAGCAGAGGCGGCGATGCAGGCCGCGGCAGATCAGCTGGATGACGCCGAGGAGCGCCGCGCCGAGGCGCGAGAGCGGCTAGCTGAGATGGAGGAGGGGGGGGCCGCAGCAAAGTCCACGCAGGAGCTCGATCATGCAGGTCTCGGAGGACGACGTGCAGGTTGTGCGCGGGCTGTTCCTTCAGTTGCGGACCCTCCCGATGGCGCACCAGGCGGGCAACTTCGCAGACGCGTGGGGGTCGACCATGCAGCAGCTGCAGGCAGTCGAAGGGCGCTTCGCCGATCGCGAGAGCTCACCAGCCACCAGCGCCCGCGAGCGATAGAGCGACACCTGCCCGATCGACAGCGGCGAGATCGGCTCCGACTCAGACCTGTGCTCGGTGGGCGGGGTGGCGCCGGCTGCCGAGCGTGGGCAGGCGGAGCGCCCCCCGCCAGCGTCGGGGCCCTGGCCTCGGGTGCCGAGGAGTGCCGCGCGCGAGCTGGCGGCAGAGGCATGCGACCTGGGTCCTTCGGCGACGGTGCCCGCAGGCCACGCGGCGGTGGTTGCTGGAGCGCAGCCGCAGATTTGGCCCCAGCAGCAGGAGGCAGGCCGATGGGGTGGCCCAGCTGAAGTTGGCCGAGGCGCCCCCCACGGCGGTGTCGGCAGCCAGCGTGATCACGATCAACGGCTCCGCCTGGGCGGAAGCCAGAACGGCGATCGAGCAGATCCGCGACGAGGGCGCCCAGGATGATGTCTTCTTGGTGCAGGAGACTCGCTTCGCAAGTTCGTCGGCTGCATCTTCGGCGCAGAGCTGGAGCGCGAGGAACGGACTCCTGGCGGCATTCGGCCCTTGCAGGCGCACGGGCAGCTGGCGCCAGAGGTCTCGTCGGGGGTTGGGGCCCTGACGGCGAGCTTCAGAGGAGTGGCGATGATCGAGCAGGGCTGGGGCGACCTCTCGCATCGGGTGATCGCGCGACGAGTCGCCTTTGGTGACCTGGTGGTCGTGGTGGCCAGCGCTTGCCTGGAGCACTCCACGAAGCTGGCTGGCATCAACCTCGAGCTGCTCGGCGTGGTCCAGGAGTTCCTGAACGTTGCCAACGAGCCCTCCATAGTGGCGGGTGACTGGAACGTGGAGCCGCAGGAGCTGTCGGCGTCATGGTGGCCTCGTTCGATCGGAGGTGCCGTGCTGGAGCCCCCGCAGCCGACCTGCCATGGTAAGAAGTACGACTACTTCGTGGTCTCGGCTTCGCTGACGGCGCTCGAGCCCCAGGTCGAGGCACTTCGGCCGACGACGACGACGTACCCGCACGTGCCAGTGCGCCTTTCCTTAGCGAAGCTGGGCGCCCTGACTCACGTCTGGGGGCTGAAGTCACCGAGGAGAGGAGGTTCGACTTAGCGCAGAAGGTGACGCCCGAGGCGAAGGCTCGAGTGGACGCCTCAGCCCAAGAGGTGCAGCGGCAGGCCCCGCTGCTGGATGCTCGAGGCCTTCCCGACGAAGCTGCGCGCGAGTTCTACGACGTGGAGGAGTAGCACCTGATCGATCTCTTCGAGATCCAGGATGGCGGTGCCTACTGTGGCAGGTC